CCACCGCCACCACCGCCACCGCGCGACTCCGGCCGCTCCGCGCGCAGGACTAGGGCAACTTTTCCTCTCCGACTCAACTCAGAGCGTGGGGCTCTCGCGCCCCAACGCCTCTCCTTTCCGTGCCCTCCTGTCCATCCCTCCCTTGTCTACCCACCCCCAGGCAAAATATTGCTGCTTTGAGACTTCAAATCCGGTCCCCTTTGAATATATTATTTGTTTTCCTTGACTAAAAGGCATGAAGTCAAAGTGGTTTTGCGCTTTTTTTTTTTTTTTTTTTTTTAAGCGTGAGCTTTCATATTGCTTTGGTACATTGCGATCTGACCATTAATCACCTACATGAAGTTATATGCTTCACATAAAATGTTTATTCATCTCTCCCTTAAAAAAAAAACTACCACTTCTTGCCTTCATTTAGTGGGAGATAACGGTTTAACCGGAATAGTTTCTGGAAGGCTAAAAAGTATCAGTAGTTTTCGCTCTCTAGATTCTGGATTTATTTCCCACATGACATCCCTTCTTATTGCAATATCTAACAGTAATAATACCGGGTATTTGATCTCAGAAGACTCTTAAACGCATCTTTTATGTTGAAATGGTCTGTTTGGGATTTAGGCCTTGCATTAATAATGGATAGCTGTTACTTTTAGTTATTGTAAAAGTTTTTTTTTTTTTTTTTTTTCTTCACTAACAAACTTCCAAAGTGCCTATTTTAGTAACTTGTGGAAGTATGGAATGAAACTTTTCCAACCACTTCTGGCAAGGTTCACAATTGCATATGGATAAGATGCAAAGTGTAAGATAATTTGAATGAATTACGGACTATAGTGAAAATGCTGAGATTCGAAGGCTGAAGTTCTAGCTGGCAGAAGTTTGCAACGCACAGAACTTGTAGATAATACCAGCGAGATGCAATAGAGGGAAAGGACCCTAACAGATACATTAGTGTCTTCTCAATTGAGCTCTGAAAAGATAAATTTATATTTGGGAATGGTGCATTTATGAGGGCACCTGTATATCCATGCAGGCCCAGAGCACAGTCAGGTATTTAACAAAGTTGGCTTCTCTTGGTTCATGAGCTATTATCACATTAAGAAAGTTTTTTTTTTCTTTTTTCTTTTTTTTCCGGCTTACATATTTAGCAGCGTTGATTGATGCATTCACTAGGCCTTCTTCTGGAAACACCACTAAGAGAAATGCTTATTTAGTGTAACAGTTTGTAAAGAAAATGTACAATAAATAGCGAATGAGGACTCATATTTTATGGGTTCTTCTTTTAAACATTTATTTACAATTTAACTTGCTGGAATAGTTATAATGCTTTAGAGCCAGTTTTAGGGAGAAAAACTTCGGTAGTTTATTGCTTATTAAAAAAAAATGCAGTAAGCACAGTGATAAAAGTACTCTAAATGAAATAATAAACTCCATTTAACTTGTAGGCAATTTAAAAAAACTTTACCAAGAAAAACCTAGACATCTTATTTTAATCAAATATGGGCATATAATAACCAAATCAGGTACTGTCCATATAATGATAACCCAGCAGAAATTTGTAGGTGAACCTTTAAAAAAAGTAGTTTCCAGAAATACCAGCATTCAGTGGTTCTTAAACTTGGCTCACTTTCAAACAGATCAATGTTTAAGATGCTGATTCAAAGTAATACCACTTTTGAAACAGGTTTTCAGGTTTGTTTTTATTGGTGGCCTATAACTTTCTCACTGAGTACATATGTAAAATGTTCTTTTTTTTCTCTTGAATGTTATGAAATAGTACGTAGCTTATAGCGATATGTTCAGCAACATGAATTATAAGGGCATACTACTTTTTTTTTTTTTTAAACTAATCATTTATGCTGTCCCTGGACATTTCCTGCAAGCTAATGATAGTCTTTAGTTTTGATATTCTGGAATATTTTAAATTATGACTTGAGAAAGATACATTAGAAAAAATTAATACTTTAATTGTGCATATGAGTAAAGTTATACAAAATATTGTGGACTTTCACTGGCAGGTTCTTAACCTTTGGGGAGTAATACATTGTAAATACTTTTAATGCAAAATTAGGGACTTAGGTTATTCTTAATGACTAGTTGACATAGTTGTTTAAGGATTTTTATGATGAGATATATGGGCATTTGGTTGGCAGGTAAACAGAATCTTGTTGAACACAAATGCATGCAGTTTGCAGTTTTTTTGAAAAGCATATTTGGAGTATCTTCAAACACTTAAAATGCCATATTAAAATGTTTATTTTAAATGCTTATTATCATTAATCAAACTTTTAAATAAGATAGCGTTTTGACATAGATATGAATTGTTTGGAGCTAAGTTATCCTTTGCATTATAAAATGGGGATGAAACTTTAAAATGAAATCCTCCTTTTGATGAAAGCTCACTTTGTAGTTTAAGGTAGAGTCCAGGAGTTTTTTGCATAATACAACGGAGTCTTGGTCCCTAGCATGTCTTGTATATATAAGAAAATCAGTCAATGTGAAGTTCTGTTTCAAACCTAAAATTTATGTATTTTAGAGCATTTCAAGGATGAGCTCAGAATTTAGTCATGTTTAGATGCTTTGTGGTTTGGCATATACCTTTGCAGATAAACTGTGACTTACCCCCCATGCCTCTCACCTAACGTGTGAGAATAAGAGATATTCTCAAACATCAGAAATTTTAAAAATGTTAATGGTTTATGGCAAAGAATAATCATTCCTGTATTTTTTTCTATTCTCTCTCTACTTAAAGAATGCACACGTGTTATGAAAGCTGACTACTTCTCTTTTGGATTCTTTTATTGAAAAAGAGCAGTTTTGAAAGCTAAACTTGAAACATAGAGCCTGAAATTTGTGCAGAGAGGGAAAAAAGTCAGTTATTGAAGTGATTTATTACGTATTATATTACTATATACTTACTTTTAAAAACTGAGTCATATAGAGTGTTTAAATGATTATAATTTGCTAAATTTTTAAACAACACGATTATTAAATATTTTACCAATTTCACCTTATCAGTTCACATTTGAACATTTAAAAATGTAGTAATTGCGTTAATAATAATATTCTGGACATTACTGCTACTTGTGCCTTGAAAGTATATATTTAGTTAGATATAACAAACTGAGAAAGAATGCGTTTTATAATATTTGTCCTACACCGTTTAGCAAAAAGTCATCGAATCTCTCTTTGGTTTCTAATCCTCATTTATTTGAAGGTAATCTATGTTTTGGAGAGGGGGGTTATGTGGCAGAGAGAAGTTATGTAACAGTGTGGATTAGTTAATCAAAAGTTAGATGTACTCCGAAAGCTTTGTGGAGGTTACTGTTTAATTTTTTTAAAAATATATTTATACTTCCTAAGAAAATGTCATGTATAAGGATCAAACATTTTAAGCAAAACAGGAAGAAACATTTAAATATTTGAAACTCAATTTTTTTTTTCAATTTTAAGAGGCATCTATGAGGGTTTTCCTGGCATCTTGTAAATATTGAAAATACCAGGTTCTGTTTCCCTATGAGAAAAGTCCTGAAATAGTATTTGCAAAAATTAAATAATCTATTTTTTAGGCATGATTATTACTGAAAGCATTTCACAGTCATATTAGTAAATTAAATGTATTCATGTACGCTTTTCTTTGTTTTGTTTTTTCTTTTTCTTCTCCCTTTTTGTTTCATTCCCATAGTATTAGCCATTATGTCTTGGGCATAGAGCTTTTATTTTAGCCTAATAAATGTCAAATTCATCCCTTCTTTTGTATACGAACCTGCCAAATTTTTCCTGGTTTTTGACTAAAATAAAATATATGTGATTATAATATTTAAAAGGGGGAATTTAGAGAGTAGCAAAATGAGTAGGAAGTATATCAGAATCTACGTGCAATATTTTTAGAGGGAAAGCCTTTGTTTTCATTGATTGTAGAGATGATTTTTGCTCCTAGACTTCCATAAACATTGACTGGCATCTAAATGTTTAGGATTTGCCAATCTGGCGGCCGGGCCCTGGCTGTACTACAAGTGGTGAGGTCAAGGCTGGGACAAAATTAGATATGCCTTCCTTGAAATAGGGTTAAGATTATACATTGTTATAAGCATTTAGATAAACTTCACTTACTATCTAAAGGATGGGGAGCTAGGCCCGACAGTAGCAGCTGGTGTACCCTCGTGAACATATTAAAACAGTTTTTTAATTTTTAGCAATTTTTTAAATTTCCGATCATAAGAAATGATACTGATAGTTTTCTCTCCCACCTTCCCAGACTTCCCATAGGATCCTATGTATGATTTTGGTAACAGAATGCTCTAATCAAATTTCAAGTGAAATGAGGAATTTCTTTCTTAAGGTGACCCGCTGAAGAAAAGTTGTTTTCTTTTGTTTTCATTCTACTTATATTTTTGTTTTTGTTCATTTTCCTAGGATGAATTTCATCCTTTCATCGAAGCACTTCTGCCCCACGTCCGAGCCTTTGCCTACACATGGTTCAACCTGCAGGCCCGAAAACGAAAATACTTCAAAAAACATGAAAAGCGTATGTCAAAAGAAGAAGAGAGAGCCGTGAAGGATGAATTGCTAAGTGAAAAACCAGAGGTCAAGCAGAAGTGGGCATCTCGACTTCTGGCAAAGTTACGGAAAGATATCCGACCCGAATATCGAGAGGATTTTGTTCTTACAGTTACAGGGAAAAAACCTCCATGTTGTGTTCTTTCCAACCCAGACCAGAAAGGCAAGATGCGAAGAATTGACTGCCTCCGCCAGGCAGATAAAGTCTGGAGGTTGGACCTTGTTATGGTGATTTTGTTTAAAGGTATTCCGCTGGAAAGTACTGATGGCGAGCGCCTTGTAAAGTCCCCACAATGCTCTAATCCAGGGCTCTGTGTCCAACCCCATCACATAGGGGTTTCTGTTAAGGAACTCGATTTATATTTGGCATACTTTGTGCATGCAGCAGGTAAGTGCGATGGTGAGAATTCCTTCCACTTTCTTGTGTGTGTTTCTTTCCTGATGGCCTCCGCGTTATGCCGGATCCTTCCTGAGCTCCCCAAGTTGCAGGCCACATGCATACATGAAGCCAGTATGGTTTCAAAGATTGAGAAACCAAAGTCTGAGGTGCCACCTTCATTCAGGTGGGAAAGCATAGCTTTGAGCGAATTCTCACTAAGTTCAGCTCTTTTGGTAAGTAGTGTTTTCAGAGGCGTTGGTAATCAGATATGTGATGTGTTTAAATCACATTTTTTGATGAGGGGGTGAGTGAAGCCTCGTGAAAACCCTTTTAATAAAGCGTATATTTTAACTGGCAAATGATCTAGTTTAAAAGCATTTATTTTGGTATTGAGGCAATATTTTTAGTTGGTTTTCTGCTGGGAGTGTTTTTAACCTACTGAGGCCTCTTGAACCCCTTGCCAATTAAGAAGTTGGAGGTAAGATTACTATCAAATTGCTGATCATTTAGGAAGGAAAAATAATCACATTAATACGCAGACTTAGTAGCTTTGTATTTTGGAATTCTTAGTGTTGTCTCAGATAGCTAAGGGAAACAAACCAGCTCTTTCAGTAATTGATGGAGAGGTTAATATTAAAAATAACCAACCTGTATAGTGCATGAGCACATTGAAAAATTGCAATTGATAATTGATGTAGTGAGTTGCTTTGATTTATTATAAAATTAAAAAAATTTTTTTTTCAAGGCCTGTCTTACCTGTGCATGTTTCAGTATTTAGAATAGCACACAGGATGAAACTATTGAGGACTGGATAAAATAATGCGTTTTTACTTTGTTCCTTTCGTCTTGTTTTAGACAAAAGGCTCATTGTGCTATGTGAATGCTCAGGTCTTGTGTAACTTGTTGACTTTATATATGTACATATCGGTCTTGCTAGATTACCTTCATGGCAGTTACTTGAGCCAGATGGAAGAAAGTGGGTTGTGGAATCCTACCAGTAGGTTGTTTTGGGGTTCAAATATTTATGGTTTTTTTTTTTTTTTTTTTTTTTTTTTTTTTTTTTTTTACAAAGGAGAGATGTTACCTATAAAAACACTGCACTTTTCTTCAAAACATTTTTAGTTCTAAAAATGTTAGTGAGTTTTTAAAGAAGTCATCTGATAGCCTGTTCTCTATTATTTTTCTCAATATATGTTTTAGAAAGAGAACTTTTGTTATCCATCTGCCCTTACATAAGAAACTGGAAAAATTAGCTTTGCAAGCATGTCACATCATCATTTGCATTCTGTTGGCAGGGGATAGATGAGTATTTTAGAGGATGTGAGCTGTAAGTGTTTCAAATATTTGGGTTTTTGAAAATGTATACTTAATTATAAGAATTGCCTTTTGCTTTAGCCAATTCTGGGTAGCAAGAATGAAAAGTCAGCACCTCTCAAGTGACCTCTAAACAGGAATAAGTAGCCCTTTTTTTAACCCACTCTTAACCCTAGTGTTGTTCATTTGTTTTGTTTACTGAAAAAGCAAAGTTAAAATTTAAAAAAATGTACCTGCATAAAAAAGTACAGCAAAACGCAAAAAAAGTATAGGCGTTACAGGTGCTTTCAAGGAGCACTCTTTAAAATCTTGCTTTTACCTTTTAGATATTTAGAAAAATATAACCTATAAATTATCCTGAATAAATTGACCAGCATCGAAACTTGAAAGTGCCAACAGGTGATGCAGATCATGATGTGTGCTTCCATATAAGATAACATCAAAATGAAATACCTGTGAAGTTTTTGTCGGCGTAAGCAGTGTCCATTCTAAGTTTTCGACTTACACGTTTCTCTGTATTTAAAGAAATGCAATCTTTTCGCTGTTCCCATTACATGCATTCTTTTTCGTCGTTGGTTTGTTACTGTGCTATTGCTCCCAATCCTTGAACTAACACAGTTGTTGGTTGTTGCAGTGCCTGAAGGGGTTATGTTGGTAAAACGACATTTAGAAGGTTACTTAGGAGAGTTAGCATCCTTATTGCTTATGAAAGATTTATTGACAGCAGCATAGATCAGACTACCCTTCGGTTTGGTTTTTCTGATGTATCCCAGAATCCCTTGTTATGCCTGAATGCCAGCCAAATGTTTGGCCATTGGTTTTCACGGGACCGCAGTAATGGCTGCTTCTCTGTGCGCGCAACAGGAAGATTGTAAAAGAAAATATTAAGGGTCTTTTGTGTGAAAATATTTCAAATTTGATTTAAGAGATTTAGAGACCTGTTATTTGTGGAAGGGAAGCTGCCAATACAAATATGAGGTAGATCGGTCAAGTTACATACAACTGATTTGACAAGCATCTGTTATAATACTGAAGATTTGTAAACACTAAACAATGTTTTTACCTCCTTAAAAGTTTTGAGAACTTGCCAGTATTGGCAGGAGGCAGAGACTCTGAAACGTGCTTCAAGATACATGCCAAAACCATTGTGGCCTTTTCACCTATAATGCATTTTTTCTCACTCTTTCTTTTAAAATGTTGTATTTTTTTTTCCTTTCCAGAATGCCTTTTTTCCCCCCTAGTCACAGAAATTAGATCTTCTTTTCCTTCTGAAATTTTTGTGTAATAATTCTTGCTTTATGCGTCCACCTTTCCTTGGTAGGAAGTTGAAATCTCAGAACATGCATGTGAATACTAGAAGCAAATGCGGAATCAATCTTTTTTTTTTTTTTTTAAAGCAGAGGTGATTTATTCTAAGACTCATTGAGATGCTAATACTAAAATGTAATACGTAAACTACATTCCAGTTTTTTCTGTCTAAATCCAGTGGCATTAGAACTGTGAATTTTGTGGCTGGTAAACAGTAACAAATGTAATGAAATTGGAGTAATTTCATAAACCTGAGAATTTCATCTTGTTAAAAGAACAAAACCATTTTATGCCCTTAATTTGGTCTCAATTTGAGTTGTCCTTCCCATGTATCATATGACAACTTGGAGATATTATGGTGTTGTAGCAAATGGTTTTCTTTGTGAGTGTGTAACAGTAAAGCTAATTTATGACCAGTCTTTACCAGATGATCTGTATCAGAATCTACAATATACCCGGCACGTGGCAAGGTCACAATTTAAGTTGTTAAGGTCATAACCTTAGCCACCAGGCATTTGACCTTTTAGATAAAGTTAACCTTTGTTCATTAGTAGGCACTCAACCGAGAAGTTTCTGGAGAGTTTTTTTTTGTTGTTTTTTTTTTTAACCACTTCTGTATAACTTCTGGTAATGTAATCAGATTCTAGAAAGATTGTCAGTCAAATTAGTTAGATTTTGTAAAAGGTTATACTCTTTAAGGACTCATTTCTTGGATAGAGGTAGGTTTCTATATTTAGGCCACAGACTGACAGTTTCACAATTTATATTTCATATTATTACCTGGTATGGGGTAGAATAAAAGCTCGGAGGCCGCTGTATGGGGACATTTAAAATCTAAAATTAAACAAATAAATTTATGTTTAATTCAACTAAGGCCTTTGCTAATTTTCAAGTGACATTAGGCCTAAAAGCTAACTCACAGTGAGCCATCTTCACTTTTTGCAGATGAGGAATTTTCTAACATTAGAAGTATTTTTAGCAGTCTTAAAATTCAGTTTGAAAGACTAATAAGTGACCACAATTTGTCAGGTAATTGCTTTAATTGTTAATTAGCCAGTGACAAAGTGAGTTGCTATTGTCCTAATGGCAGCAGTATGAGTACTTGTTAGTTTTAAGGTAGAAAGAGAACACTTTTGCATGGTAATCTTTTAGTGCAGTGGTTACTGATTGCTTCCATACTATCCCCGTTATTATCTTTACTTAATTTTGCTTGGATCAGGAATAGCAAAGATCCTTTCAGTCACTGAAGGAGCTGTTTCAGTGTCTCGGAGGCCTGGTACCTGTCCTATAAACCTACTCAGCAGTATTACTCATTACCACATTACCTGTACCATATTGTTCACTTAATTATGCTGACATGAATGCTCATTTCAAATTATTTAGATTCTTGTTACTTTTGCTCTGTTATACCTCATATTATTCCATTTCAGCCAAAGGAGAGCTACTCCCATTCAGGTGCATTTTAGTTTTATTTTGGCTTCGTGATTGCCATTCCTTCATATAGTAATAGAGAAAGCCGTGATATGCAGATAGACCAGATGGTCATGTTGACAGATTGAGAATTCACTTCCTACTGCTTCAGAGCAGGTGTAAGATTAGGAGTGTCTGTGTAGGGGCGTGTGTGTGCTTCGTGTGCATGTGTGTGCACATCCAGGCTGCACGGAGTGCTGTTTGAGCAATGGGAATGATTTCTTTTTTGAAATGCTAGTGTTTTAAATACAGTGTAATTATACAGATAAGGTTTTCAGTGCATATAGAATATTGTAATTTTTATAAATAAATCACATTAGATTGTTACAGTTTATAACTTTATGCCAAATTAATTATGATAATTTCTTAATTTTTAGGTAACTTCCTACATTAGTTTGAGGCAACATTGCATGTCTAAAATATATTCAATATATTCTGTTAGCAGGTACACGTATGTGTGTTTACACTCAAATCCAGGACTATACATTTTTGTAACTAAATTTCTTCAGTAACTTAACTCCCTAGTAGAAAGTTGTGCAGTTAGTTTCTGTGATTTGTAATTATTAATAAGGTGTGTTTGCAAAAAGAAGGAGTAAAACTAATGTACAGTGATATTTAAATTAGGAGAGTAAGGATCACCCTATCAAACTCTAGTTCTAAGCTCAAGGTGGATTTTGTGGCTGATTGAGCTATTGTAAATTATTGACATACGGCATATTTTTAGAAATTTTAATTTATCTTTTAATCAAAAAAGATAGCGGTAGCAGTCAACAAATTTGAGATAAATATTGCTTTTACATCTTTGAGTATTTTCTGTGTAACTTGAGGATAGTAGCAATATCCTTTACCTAGAGAACAAAATCCTTTTTCTAGAATGCAATGAAAAAGATGGTAGTTCTAAGGCAGAGGGTGTACAG